TCTCCCTCCCCCCCAATTATTATTTTGGTCCATATACATAATATATCAATTAGATAAGATAAGAAGGCCTTCCTATTATTTTTCCTATATATTATATCAGGTGGGACAATTTTGGACTTCTGAATGGTAAAGGTGGGGAAAAAAATAGCAGATACTGTATCAAAAGTAGAAAAAGATAAATAAATATAAAGAGAGAGATAGAAGAAAAGAAAATGCAATATACCTCAAACTATCTTGCTATTACATCAGGGTATTATTATTTTGTAGCATGAAATATACTTTTTTAAGGCAGTGATATTTTCATCATCTGCAGAATAGTTTATTGATACTAAAATGCTAAGAGATTGTAATTAAGCAAAAAGATTAAAGCTATAGCTATAGGATTTTATAAGAGTTATCTTGTAGGAAAAATGTTGTGTAATGTTATAGAGATTCGTTTTGCGTGCCATAGTTTTTTTTTTTCTTCAAAAAATGTGGGCCCCACAAAATGTTGTGTGTGTAGAAAAGTTTGTTGTGTCATGTTAAATGACAAATGCAAACCCTATAGTTATATCGTAATATTTGGTTATAAATAAAGTAATAATTATGCAAACTTCTTAGAGATATATTAATCATGATTGCCATTTGGAGAAAAATACACGGGTAGAATTAATATGGCACTTGCCTAATTGCCTATAAAGATAACAAGACGAACGTTTGTTTATACATGGTGTAAATAAGGGGCTGCTACAATTATAAATGCACTGTATATGGATTGTGGAGAGTTAGTCAAAGAGAATATATAGGATGGAAAGCACTTGAGAAACCAAAAAGAAAGACAGGCTAGAAAACAAGGAGGGGGGACATAGTAGTTTTGTGTTGATGTATACCACAAAGAAAGTGAAGGAGGAAATGAGATCGAGAAAGCAGGACCCATTTGCCTTTAGCTGTGGTATAGGGTCATTTTTAAGTGTACACAACTAGTACAGCAGAAGAGGGGACCTAAAGAGTGAGAAAGACTGAAAAAGACTTGAACAAAAAATAAAGTTAGAGAGATATAGAGAGGGAGGTCTAGGTGAGAGGGCCCATTAGGTGATATGATAATGGAAGTTGCCTTCATCCTCTCTGGACTTGTTCCTACCAATCCGAAAATTATATTAATTGGTCACCTTTCCCTGAAGATATTGCTTCAAGCTTCATATGCTGCACAAATTTGCAAGCAAAGCATGATTTAGACAATTGATGAGTGTTAATGTCAGTGGCTGCATGGAAATGGCAGAGAGTGTCCTCTTTCAAAGCGTCACCCTAACATTTAAGATTTTACCTACAAGAAAGGTATCGCTATGGTTGCAATGCAACAACATGTTGTAGCAGAAGATATGATTTCCTTGACTGTTTAATTTGTCCCATTGCAATGACTAGGAATCTGTGACAAGTAAGTAGAACAAAAAAATAAAAAAAATCTATGTTCTGTTTAGCAACTAATTAGGAGGTCAATTCCTAACCTAGGATTATCTGACAGTCTTAACAGGCTATTCTTGTTAACCCATCAATCCCTTTCTTTAAACTTTAAAGTGTAACCTCAAAGTTATTTAATCAAACACAAGTTACTCGTTGAATAGACCTTTATTCATAATTCAACCTTTACAACTTTCTTATCTATTGCAATAAAACCAAACACATAATTTAGGTTTTCCTATATCTAACTTCGCTCATTTTAATTACTGAGGACAGATGCAGATCAAATGAAAAGACACTAAGATTAGTTGATTGGTGAACCGTGGACAATCAATATATTCTTTGAAAATACAAACGCCACAAATTTTCGTTTGAAGAACAAAGCAGATTAGTCATAATGAAAGAACTATTATTAAAGCATTGAAATCATTAGAAAGTTGAATGAGAAGATTATTATTTGGGAGAAGGGGGGTTACTATATTTCCAAGGGGCTGAGGACAAGACCTTGATCCTCTCCGTAGAAGAGAATCTTGAGCTAATCATCAATAGTACTCACTGTGCAATGCCTTCATATCAACGCGCCACATGCATTATATTTTTAGTAATATCAATATGAGTTTATTTTTTCTAAAGTTACTTTAGATAACTTTATGTCATGTTCACCAAAACGACATCGTTTTGGAGCGGAAATCATGGTGTTTTTGTAATTTTAATTTATTTCAGGGTTATAATAGTCTTTATCATTCTATTTTTTTAATTTTTCAACCATAAAACTACGTCGTTTCAATGAACATTAGACAAAGTTGTCTAAAATAACATTAGATACTTTTTTCCCTATCAATATATAATATTTTAAAGAGTTTTATAAGAGTTATGTTTTAAGAAAAATAATTATGTAATATTATAGAGATTTTTTTTGCGTGCCGTAATTTTTTTTTTTTCCTTCAAAAAGTGTGAGCCCAAAAAATGTTTGTGTGTGTAGGAAAGTTTGTTGTGTCATGACAAATGCAAATCCCTATTTTAAATTGAATTTATCCACAACTCTAATTATACAAATGTATTATAATTTTGGTAAACTAACTATATGCATATTTAGTGTACATTATAGGATAAACCTAATAGTATAAGACTTGATATATAGTGTAATGTCTGATTATATTTTTTAATTAATTTTAATATTATTCAGCGTTTGATATAATATTGTATAAAATAATATCATCAAGTGTTTTGTAATGCACTGTATAATATTAGATATGATAAAAATAAATATTTTTGACAAAAATATCCTTTAATAAAGAAATTATATAATTTTTTCAAATATATTATATGATATTAATTTTTATAAAAATCTATTGATTAGCATATCTAAAAAATATATTAATTTTTATAAACATAAAAATCTACAATATTTTAAAAATTAACATATTGAAAAATTATTTTTTATTTTAATATTAATATATTAATATAATATACTAATTCTTGAAAATTGCACTTATGAGATATGTTGGTACATCAACCTCTTATCAGGTCTAATCCCACCCTTTTCGGCCTGATTAAGTTATACATCGTTTTGATGTATTAAGATATTCTGCTGTACAAACTTATACTATACGACGGTCACATCAAACAACTAAAAATGTCATAACAAATGGTGTAATGTTATACTATCAAGCCTTATACACCTCACCAAATATGCCCTAAAGATTGTTTTTTATGAGTTTATTGTTTCTCATGTTGTAAAAGATAAATTTATCTCCTACACACACATAAAAGTATGTGGGGCCCATATTTTCTCTTTTTTTTTATCTTCTTCTCACATGGGACCACATACTTATATATTTGTGTAGGAGATAAAATTTAGAGTAAATCCCATTTTGGATCCCTATCAAAAAACACGATCCTCACTTTAGTCTTTCTCAAAAAAAATTAGTCTCGAGGTCTCTAAGAAATTCAAAGTGGATCAATTTAGTTGAAATCGTGGTCCTTTATAAATTCAAAAAGACCCACATTAGTCTCTCAAAAGGACTAAAATGGATCCACTTTGAATTTCATAAGGACTAGCCGACTAATTTTTTTTGTGAGGGACTAAAATGAGGATCGCATTTTTTGTCAGGGACTCAAAATGAGCTTACTCTAAAATTTATTTCTTTTAACATGAAAAATATTAATTTTTTTTAATTATATAAGTGTTTTTCTCGATAAAAAGAAGGGTTAATCTAATCTCATGTTACATAAGAGGTCTTCTCTCATGTTATAGATACATGTGTGGTAGGACGCACAATTTACAAAAAGAAAAAGAAAAAAAAATATCACGATTTTCGATGGATCTATTAGAGATAAACTACTCTTATGTTGCATAAAAGTAGGTTTTTCCTAAAAAAAAATTATCCCACCATATGACAGATCATCATCAAACATGTTAGCTCTAAAGCTCCAGAAAGTAAGAAAAACTTCAATGTACCTCCACAGAGTTTGATGTTTTTCTCTCACAAAGTAGAAAAATTTAAAGTGATCCCAAACCATCATAATTCTTTGAAAGAATTTTTTTTTCTCTCTTCTCTCTTTCTCTCTTTTCAGCCCCACTAATTGAAATTTGCTCGGGAGCACTACAAAATTTCTCCACAAAGTACCACATGACATTGTCCACGTGGCTGGAAACGTAGGTTGTACCGGTCTTCCCGCCATTCTTCACGGGGCCCAGAAAAACCCGATGACAATGCTCTCGCTCCCATGTCAATATTTAATAACGTAACATATTAAAATATTTGTTATATAAGTTATGTGTATAATTTAAGGATTTAATTATATATATACATATATGTTTTAATTTTAGAGTATGATTTAATTTCTTAAAAATTATTTTTTTAACGGGGTATGGAAGTATTTTTGGGTAGAAATGCATATATTTGTTTTTTTCAATGTTGTATATGTAAATTTTAATTTTAATAGTTTAATTCACACATTTTTATCACATTATTCATTATTATTTCATGAGATTAATATTTGTCATATCATAATAAATAATAAAAGAGTGTGATCTATATTTTCTTTTTTCTCTTTCTCTTCATATGATCTTACTTAAACCTCACATACTTTTATGTGTCTACATAATAAATATTAATCAAGTATTTCATACATAATTTATTTTGACATCTGGTGCCAAAATATGCATAAGAAAAAAAAAATGAATTGCCTTTTGAGTGTTAGGACACGCCCACGTGGCAGTCATATCAGTGGGGCCCAAAACCCACAGCGTTGGTTATGGATACATCGGTTGGCTCTCTGCCCCATTCACTCCTCTCTCTCTCTCTTTCTCTCTCCTAATAATTCCGGTCACTTCTTCACACATTCCGGCATCCTCCGGCCATTTCATTTATTCTTTTTATTTATTTATTATATCATTTCTCAAAAATAATTAAATAAATTTATTTTCTTCCTTTATTTATACCAAACCTCTCTTCTTCATCACACATTAACAGCAACATTTCACTCTTTCTCCTTCCTCTCCTTCTCTCACTCCATCTCAGAAGAGCGAACGTTAGCAACATTGTACCTTCACCTCACGAGACCTTCCCTGTGTTGGGTTATTGACCCTACTTCGTTCTCGTCCTAAAGTAGTTGCCTTTTACTTTCTTTCTTTTTTGGTTTTCCACACACCTTGCGTGGTACTTACTCTGTTTCAAGAACAGGGCACTGCCTAATCCGAATAAAGAATAACTAACAACAGCATGTTGCACTGTCTCAACACTTCGGGGAATCTAGGAGGGAGCTGTTCGGACATGACAGTGTTGGAAAGACAAAGGGCGAAGAGGAAGTGGCAACAAGAACACGCTGAGTTTAACGGTATCTTCTCTTCTTCAATGCAAGTTCAGAATCCTCATGGCTTGGTCATGATGGGTTGTGATTCCGCGCTTGCTGAGGTCGTAGCTCACTCAATGAAGCCCGACCCGGGTTTTGAAAATGGGTGGCCCGAATTGGGATTCGGGTCTTCTTCTTCTTCTGGGTTAGTACCTTCTTCTGCGTTTGACGTGAAATCTGCAAGTCCACGTGGCAGAGACTTGGTTTCAGAGACGGAGAAGATGGTAAGCTCGCCATGTAAAGAAAACTTCAAGAAGAGGAAAGCTGATAAGGCTCAGAATTCCAAGGTGTGTAAGTTTCGCTTTCTACACTGTGGCACTATCGTTGTAGTGTTAGTATAGTAGTGTGGAAATTTGTATAGTGTGTGTTGGTTAAACTAACGGTGAGAGTTTTTGTTGATTTTGTTTAGGTTGTTGCAGAGAGTGATAACAAGGACAAGGGAATCAAAGTAAGTGCTGACGAAGGGGAATCCAAAATCACGGAACAAACAAGCAACAAGAATACCAAGTGTAACACAAATAGAAACAACAGAGAAACTTCTGCAGATACTTCAAAGGAAAATTCAAAAGGGTCTGAGGTTCAAAATCAAAAGCTTGAATACATTCATGTCCGAGCACGTCGTGGTCAAGCCACTGATAGTCATAGCTTAGCCGAAAGAGTGAGTAGAAATCAACAAATATTTTGTTGTTTTTGTTTTTGTTTTTCTTTAGGAGCATTTTATCTGCTGCAAGTTTCAATGCTGTGAGTTCAATGTACACGTTCTGTTTTTCGTGCAGGTTAGAAGGGAAAAAATTAGTGAGAGAATGAAGTATTTGCAAGATTTAGTACCTGGTTGCAACAAAGTTGCAGGAAAAGCTGGAATGCTTGATGAAATCATTAACTATGTTCAGTCTCTTCAACGACAAGTTGAGGTAAGATTTAGACCCACTTCTTAGGAAATTTAAGTATGAAGTTTTATATGGTTTCAATTTTAATAACAATCCTAGCTCACGTGACTTACTATGTATTATCCCCGCAAGCAGTTCTTGTCAATGAAATTAGCTGCTGTAAACCCAAGACTTGACATCAACATTGATGAACTGTTTGCCAAAGAGGTAAGTGCAATGACTTCAACATTTCTTTTAGCTCAATTACACACTCAATGAACAAGAATATTTAGAACTCGTATAAACGCTTCTGTTTCTGACACACTCTTATATATTTGATCACGCAGGTTTTTCCTGCTTGTGCTCAAAGTTTTCCATCCATAGGGATGCAATCAGACATGACTACTAACCCATCTTATCTCCAGTTTAATTCAGCACAACAACTTGTTTCATGTTGTGGTGGATTAATAAATAATATGGGGACAAGCACTCCGGATATGGGGTTTCGAAGAAACATTAATGTTCCTGTATCTTTGCCCGAAACATTTCTTGACTCATCCTGTTTCAATGTAGGTTACCCCTCTTTGCATTTGTCCCCTAGTGTTCTTGTTTTAATAATTAGTATTCTCTAATTGATCTTAATTACGTGCACTGCAGCAAATTTTACCCTCCTCAACTTGGGAAGGTGATTTCCAAAACCTTTACAATGTGACTTTTGATCAAGGGCCAACAACATCTTTTCCTTCTCAGCCATTTACAGGTAGCTACAATTTTTTGACTTGTCAAATCACTTTTTTCCTTGGCCTGATATGATGTCCTAGAAGTAGAAAGAAAGTAGAACCAAAGCAGATTGGATTTTCGTAGATGATAGAGACATGAGAGCTCCACAGATATTGATAAGTCCTTTTTCATCAAAATGAATACTTTTTTTTTAAAAAGGAACTATACAGTGTTAACCATTCAGTGACTATACAGCCAGTTGTCTTTTATCTGCTTCCTCCTCTCTTTTCCATTACTTTCTCTCATAGAAAGAGAAAGTAATGATTTTTTTGGCAGCTTGACTCGATGCATTACATTTGGGGGTTCTAAAACGAACCGGTGAAGGCCTCAACTTATATTTATAAAATTAATTATTCGCATCAGGCTTGAATTTGTATAAAAGTTCGTTTAATAAAAAAGTCTCATGCTCTGATTTAAAAACTCGGCCTAATATACATTGTAATAACTCTCTCTTTTTCTTCAATCCATTTCACACTATTTTATTAGTTAAAGAAATTTTTGAATAATTTTGTTCTATATTATGCTGTTTGGATATACATTGAATTTATAAATATTTATGGAATTATTAGTGTTGTTGATGCTATATTCTGTTTGGATAAATTTTTGTTATATTATTTATTTTTAAACAAGCTAACAGACTAAACCAGATTTTTATTTTTTGTAAATAAACTAGGCCACATGTCGATAATTATATTTATAACAGATAACAGGCTTGGTTAGACTAATACATTTAAACACATGCTTAGTCTTTTAAGATCAAAGCTCGACTCGGTTCGATCCATTAACACCCCTAATTACGGGCATGTATCATGAAAAGATCAGTACTAATTGCTGTATATAACTAAGTTGTTTGTAATACATTACAAAATTAATTTTCGATGTATGAAATTAATTATATTTGGTTAAGTTAATTGTATCTTTTAAATTCTTTGGCAATTTAGATGATGAGGCCCTGGGTCAATTGTTTTCTTCAAGACTAGTTGGCCATTCCACAATCACCCTTATTTAGCACTTTTGAAAGCAGTTGAAATTCTAAATGTGTTGTTCTGTATCTCTGCAGGTCTAGTTGAAGCTAGAAATCTAAAGATGGAGATGTAGATCTTTTATTTTCATTTGTTGGATGGGGCTCACTCCGAATGTCTCTTATCAAAGATTCTTTTTCTTTTCAAGTACATAACATATTTGGTTGTATACTGCTCCGGAGTATAAATAAGATCATATTAATACCTGTTAACTTCAGTTACCTCCTTTTGCACATTGAAAGCACTTTGTAGCCAATAAAAAATAAAGGTTGATAACGATGAGCGGATACGTGACCAGGCACCTAATCCGATGTACATAAGGGCGTTGATGGCAACTTCCTCTGCTTTTCTTTTTTACCCCCTCCCCTCTCCATATATGATTTTTGGTAAAATAAAAGTAACATTAGCTGGATGCAAAGGAAATATTCTACTTAAGAATAATGGAAATAGTAATAATAATAAATACTTTACCTAAAAAGAATATTTACACTCTTGTGTCAAGGTTGTGCAAATAATGTTTAGGGTGTCATCATTCTAAGTCTATTATGGGAGGGGGTGGTTGAACCATAACGCAAGATGACTTATATTAAAGAGCCAAAATAATAAATCACAGTAAATAAGTTTGAGATAATATGTGAATTCAAAATCTTAAGAAATTAAATTTATGTGTCTTTTTAAATTTGATGTTGTAGATTATTAGGCCCACTCCTAAAAGGAAAAAATAATTCTAGTTGGTGCAATAAAATTGAGTGGGTAGAGTAGAATTTCAGTTTAATCCCCACGAATGTCATATTGGGAGTGACCTAAGACCTTAGTCCTTAAATGGCTTGTGGGATTAGCGGAGGGCTAAAAATAAAATAAAAAGGAAAAAATAATTAGGATGACATCTTATTATTATTATTCTTTTGGATATCAACCATAATTATTTCTTTGAGACAAATAAATTTTTTTAAATATTTTTATAAATTTTGACTATTTGAGCCGACTATGAGATTAGTAAAAAATCGAACCGAGATTCTTTTCTATTCACTCCATTTCATTGCATCAACTGAGCTGTCATTATTGAGTGATGACATCTTATTTTAGAGTAACAACACTAAAGCTTTACTATTTTATCAAATCGGTTGCATGAATTAATTATTGATATCATTAGAATCTCTCAAAATTAAAACTTTAGAAATAAACATCAAGGGTAATGTATTTTTAAAAATTTGTTCTTAGCATTCATTTACATTATTTTCCATTTATTCAATTTTATAATTAGTGTTTCTACTAGTTTTATTCTATTTTAATTTTTACTTGATTAAAACACACTCGACGAGATTTCTTCATCTTCTCATCAATTGGTGTTATCTTATTTTCTCTCAAAACTTTCATTTATAATTATTATTTTCTGTACGGCCACTTATTATTATTATTATTATTATTATTATTATTATTACTTTCATTTGGCATTTCATTCCTTAATATCCACAGCCATTGAGCTTCGTTGATTTTTTGCAGATCACCTGATCTAACATTCCACATATTAAATAATCATCTTATTTAAAGGTTCAAGATGTTAAATTAACATTACATTAATAATTTTGTATTATACTTTTCAAATAAATTTGGTGGACCGAACTCTTTTCCACTTAATCACCAACTTTTATATTATATTACGCAATCAATTCTTCAAAAAATTTAAGTGTTTAATGACTCTCATGTTATAAGAGATAATTTTATCTCTTATACACATATAAAAGTACGTAGAATTTATATTTTTTTTTCCTCTTATCTTCACATGATCTCACATAGGATTGGCAAAAATGAGCCAACCCGTAAAAAATGAGCCGAGTTGGGTTGACAAAAATAAGCTGTCAACCTGACCCGAGCCAGCACAAAAAACACGAGCCAACTCGCGGGTCAAATGGGCCAGCTCGTGGGTGTATTTTTTTTTAATAAAAAATACAAAATATAGTATACAAAAATGGACAAAATTCACGCATGTTGTCATCATATTTCTTCCTTCTCTAAACCTAAGTCCCTAATTTTTGCACATCGCTGCCATTTTTATATTGTTAGGCTCTGTTGACTCTGTTTGGTTCAAATATCTTACCCACTTGGTAGCAAGTGATTCTGATTGTTTCTCGATGTTAGTGCAAATTTATTGTGAAGAAGATTCAAAACTAAAACATTTTGCTTTTACTTCTCATTTTGTAACTTTGTATTTTGCTTTTTTTATAAAATATTCTTTAAGACAGTTGTATTGTTTAAGCTGATGGAAATCACATAGTTGATGCATTGATACTACAAGTTCATTTAAATAGGCTAAAAATGAGCTAACCTGCGAGCCATTTTTGAGCCAACTCGCTAGCCAATTTTTAAGCCAACCCACGAGCCATATTTGCAAGTAATCCCACGAGTCATATTTTTGAGCCAACCCGCAAGCCAACTCTCATTCGGGTCGGGTTGAGTTTTCTGGCTCGTTTTTTTTTTTTTCGAGCCAACCCTAACCCTGCTCGTTTTTTTCAGGTTGGGTCAGGTTGATCCATTTTGCCAACCCTAATCTCACATGAGTCTCCACATGTGTGTAGGAGATAATTTTATCTTTTAGCAAATGAAAAAAATCAAACCCAAAATTTAAAGATATAAATAATTTCTACATTAACAATTTTATATTATACTTCTGTAACGTATCTAGCCGGTCTTTCTAACCAGAACAATTCGTGCAAGTTCATATACAGGTGAGCAGATACATGATTACAAAACAGTGAAACTAATACTTAAATAGATACCTCTAAGTTACCTTAACCATTTAGTTAACTGGATGAAGAAGAAAAGCAACACTGAACATGCGTGAGAGAGACAGTGGCCATGAGCCTGATAGTGGACCTTCTCAAGACAAAGCTGCCTTTAGGGACAGAATAACAGTATGCTGATTGAGACAGTGATATTCCAGAGTGTGGTGAATACAGATCCCTTAACACATGGAGAGAAGAAGGTGATGGGCAGACATTTCAACTTCTTCAATTAATTAGAATGGTTTTTCTGTCTCTGAAGTACCCCCAATGAATTATGATTTAGTTCAATCAAAAAGGACATTTAAACTCATATCTGTGGTTAAAAGGATAGATGGTCATCCTTGTGCTTGAAATGTCTAGAATTACATGGACAAAGAACAGTCACACACGAAAACGAAAAGATGTTTAATGTTGTTCAGTGGAGTTCTTCAATTGCTCACACTTTGGGGTCGTGGACTCACGGGAACCAAAAACTCAAATCTCATTATCAAAGTTTCCAGGTTTTGATAGTTCAATGATGTTCCAGTTTCTCCGGTTTCTACTCACTTGATACAACACCACCAAAATGACCTCGGCACCTCCCCATGCAAAAAGTTCATTACATAATAAATTCATCAAAGTTTTTCATTCTACAATGTTGGCCAATAGATATAGATTGCACTAACAAGTAAAATCCTGTTTTTTTTCTTCCAAATCTTCCCCCATGATAATAAAGGAGGTTTAATTCTAACCCTGAATGATACTTCGCTAGCTTAATCATAATTCATTGGGGTACTTTAATATACCTTTCATATTATTAAAAAGACACAACTATATTCGGCATAGATTCATGTCTTACTAGGGATGAAAGGAGCTTTTCAGTGTTAGGTTGCATTGATGGTTAGTTAGGGACCACTTAAGGTTATGAAGGGAGGTATGGGATATCTTGTTATTTTATCTTAGAGTTACAAGAGCCTCAGGTTTCCCTTCACTTTCAAGCCATATATAATGGTGAGATTGGTGGACCTGTCTCATCCACAGCCAAGATCCTGTTGATTCTCTTTGTTTCTGTGGATTGTGAGAGATGATATCGGATTTCCCTTTCATTGGCCCCACTTCAGCTTTATGTGAAAACTTCCCTCTACCCTTTCACTCACATGTTGCACTGTTGTGCAGTTCCAAGGTATAAAAGATTCCTTTGCAGGAGGCATAAAACAATAGTAAATTCTAAAAGCTATGATCAACTTTAGCTTCCAAGTCTGTGTCTCATTAATTCTTCTTAGGTATAGGGTGCTCCACTGCTCAGGGCTTGGTGACCCAATATGGCCCTAGCTATTCATGTTGGGTTGGACTTAGTCGAGGCTCAACTTTATATATTGAACAAGGACTGGGTTACCATGATGTCATATATGTTATTTGTTAGCTCAAAAACGGATCATCTTCATCATGCAAAAGGAGGAATGTGCTAAGTGTAGGCTCGTTGACCACGTCGGGGTTTTTGATCTTTAAATGTATCAATTTGGTATATAATTGAAATATATTGTCGTTTCGGGTCTTCAAATTTTGTAGGGATCAACGGATTTGAGTCTCACACCTCCTCTCTCGCGAAACTCAAGGTTTTTTTTAGGTAAGTGACACAATCCATGGGAAACTCTTACTTATATGCCAAGTGATATAATCTTAGTTTTTTACTCATTCTTTGTCCCCGTTTATTCATTAAAATACTTAATATTATTCATTAACCATTAAACATTATGTAAGATCTTTACATATTATTAATTACATATGCCTATATTTGGATAAGAAGCTACTAACTAGGTACATGTACCGAACAAATTTTCACTAGGTAGAATGTCATACTTTGAATATCCAAATTTCAAAGTCAGCAAATAAAAAATACTGAGTAAAGGACACATGCGCAGATTGCAAAAATAACAATCAGTATAACAACTATGACATACGGTATTGACAAATTGCACCGGCTAAATTAAGAAAATTATATGATTGTATTAAATGCATACATACTCAGATATCCAGAAGATATTTAGTAGATTGTAAAATTTGAGTATTCAAATTTCAAAATGATCACACACAAAAAAAAAAAAAAAACTTTGAATAAATTACACATTGTAAAATGCTTTGAATAAAAAAATGATAATAAATTTCAGATATTGTCCTTGGTGATGGAAACCCCAAAGGTAAAAAATATAAATGATCAAAAAAAAAAAACTTTGAATAAATTACACATTGTAGAATGCTTTGAATAAAAAAATGACAATAAATTTCAGATATTGTCCTTGGTGATGGAAACCCCAAAGGTAAAAAATATAGTTTCGCACCAAAGATTATAAATTTATATATCACACATCTTCCTAATAACTTTGGCTTTATTAACAGTTGTTTTTAACAAGGAAGAGGGTGTTGCTATTTTTACCATCAAAGCAGTTGATGAATATCCTCCAACAAGGCAACAACCTTAAGAAGATTGGTAAGACTCTTGAAAGAGTCTATATTACAGAGAAGCAAGTTTTGAAGAAAATTCAAGTTTAGGGAGCAATAAATATTGTAGATATTCAAGATAAGAATTTTGACTGGTTAGATTTTAGTAATGTAATATGAATGTTTCTTTCACTTCCATAAATTAAGTTATTGGGGAACTTGAAATTCTAGGCATGGGACTTCTAAATATGTACCCAAGCTGCACTTGCAAGTTATTTCTTGTTCTTGCAGAGTCCTCATTTCCCATTAATATGGGACTTGTCAATTTGTCACGTTGAGTATATGAAGTGAGATCACATCAACTATGAAATTGAGCCCTCATTTGGTGTAGAAGCTTCAGAGCTCTAGCCTGATATCAAATACACCACTATGAATGAGTTCATTAAGAAAAATGATGCTTGCACACCATTTTATTTACACCAGTTTATATCAATTAACGATGAACAAAATTTTGATTAACAATGCATATAGTTAGATTAATAAACTAAACTGGAATTATTACAAGATTGTTAAACAAATAATATCTATTGCTTAAAAAATTTGTATATCATTAACTAGTATAAAAATGGTATGCAAAAGTCAAAATCAATTCGTTGAGATACAAAAGGCCTAGTTGTAAAATGTCCAGTATTGTAAAAATTCACTGTCCAAATAAAAAACCACGGAGTAGCAGTGTTTAGTGATGTTCTCAAAACATATATGAATAAGGGAAAAGTTATATTGACGAACTTTTTTTTTTCAAATTTACAAACTACATTAAGTCTGACTGGTCATACACTATTGATTAAAGTCTGACTAGTTATACTTAGTGTAGTTTGTAAGAGTTTTTTTTTTATCAATATAACCCCTTGTGAATAAAGCTATTATAATTTTGCGGCATTTCTATTGAAGCCTCATGTTATAATTTTACTTTCTTGCTTGAAAATTCTAAGTTCTTTCTTTTTTTAAAAAAAGAAAAAGGACGCCGGAGTATGGTAGAAACCTTGCCCTCCAATGTACCTGTTCAATGAGATTCAATGGCTGTGAATTCCTTATCCTGCCCCACGTACACCGTGAGTTTAGTGCTGAATTTTGTGCCATTCACACCTTGCCAATTTCAGGGTAAGGCAATAGCAAAGCAGGCAAGCAACGAATAGGCATTATTAATTTCAGTTACACATTCTTAAGCTGTGTTTAGAAATATAACATGGAAATTTATAAGTAAATATGTGCGTGGCACTTTTTCACAACATTTCCAAACAAATCCTAAACTAGGGTGTCTAAGAATTCACTGATTGTGGTGTATTTCAGATGTGGATACAGTTCTGTACCATTCACAGCAGAGGATGACTCAATATCAAAGTAAGTGTGATCTCCTTTTATAAAAGCAGAATATATAAAAAGCATCTGGAAGTTGGCAGGGAAAGCAGTTCCTGCAATGTCAAAAAAATTACAGACGTTCATCAGAATTTTCCTCTTGCATTTTCTTTATGGATGCATATATTTAGGAAAAGAGACTTCATATCTATCAGTCAGTTTCCCTTAATGTATGATAAATTTTTCATGTCTCTTAAAGTCTTAATTGACAAGAAGCAACAACATAGTGAATGGATAGATGTTTTGTTTATACTACTACTATGATACCTTTGATTTTCTTGAGCAACTCTTCTTCCGAGACATTCAATTTCTCAAGATTCTTCTTAATCTTAGTCTCCCACATCTCAACCAGCTCATTCAAAGAATAAACGTTTCCTGGGGGTCTCAAGTACAACACTTTATTTAACGTCCGGGGGTCATCAACTGCATTGATAGTAAAGGCTGCAACATCACTTTCATTCATAAAGACAGCTGCAATGAAACCATTCCATAAATAAGCACCAAGTAAAAGAATATCACTCAAATCACAATGGTCTTGATTAAGCAGACCTTTTGTATTCCCATCACCAAATATGGTGACCTTGTCCCTAGGAGGAGCTTTTAAGCCTGGTTGAGCAAGAGAAGGAAGCAAAACCCTCATAAAGAAATTGCAGGAAATGCAAGTATATGGAATGCCTTCAGCTTCCATTAGTCTCCTAATTTCAACTTTGGGTGCATAAAAATTGTAGCCATCATCAAGTTCAGATACTTTAACCTTGGTAGGATCTGATCCAAATTCAGATGGGATGAACCTCTGAAGTGCACAACTAACAACGGATTAGTGAACACATTTAACAGTTCAATAATGCAAGGAACAGATGCTTCACTAATTCACACATGTATATTGAGAACTCTGGAAACATATATCTTAATGAAAAGAAAAAAGTAAGATTGCAATAGCATTAGAAATTGCAGAACCTATCAATTATAGTCCCTAAGGCATAAACGATCATCCTTCCCAAAAACAAATTCCTGCAGAACATACATTTTTCTTTCAATCAACAAGGCCTAAATATCAACATTTTAAAGGGTTCATGCTTCAGGAAAGCACAGTTGCTAAATAATCTATTTTTGAGCTCCATGGATTTTGGAGCCCGTACAAGCTCATTCCCATTTGACATTTACCAAACTCACTTCTAATTTCTTCTCAATAATGAGTTTAATCCATAAGGCAAGAAATCAAAATAGATAAAAAAAAAAAAAAAAAATTCTATGGCAAGAGGTTGATGGATGACCTTGATAGAGCCAGTTTGTTTGATAACTCGGATAAGAAGCTTTTGATCAAGAGTCTGTTTAGCTGAAACAGCACAAATTACCACATCTACTAACTTTACAGCCTCAACAATGCTGGCTTCGTCTTGGAGCGAACCCTGAGAGCATAAGAATTCAAACAAAAATTCAGAATAAGATCAAATCCAGAAAAATCAAAACAAAAAATGGCAAAATGAAGATGATAGAGAGAGAGGTAGACTTTGAGAAGGGTAGCTCCAGCATGAGAAAGGGAGTGAAGCTTGTGGGCTTTGATTGGGTCAGAAAAAGCAGTCTCTCTAAAAAGAGCAAATGTTGGGTGACAAAACTTGAGGCTTGCTTCCGCTAAATGATAACCCAGATTTCCCGTCGCCCCAATCACCAAAATTTTGCTCTTTTCCATCATTTTCTCACTCTCTTAGTGCCAAAGCCAAAGACACCCCCACAAACTAAAACGACAACCGAGTCTCGACTAGATTGAGGTTCATTAGAACACGTTTCAAGCACTGCGAGACATGTTTGGTTCAGGAGAAATTTTTTAAATACTAGAAAATATAATTATTAGGGAAATAGTTGAAAAGTGAGTTTGGTAGAAAAATGTAAAAAAAGTTGTTTGGTTGACTGAAATATTACTAGGGAAATTTATTTAAATTTGCAAAATCTATGTTCCGGAGAAATTTCGCACCTATTTTTTCACTTTCTCAGTTATCTCAAAATACCACATCTCAAGTGGCATCTGTAACAGTGAATTTCATCCAAAAATTAACACAAAACTCATTTCTTCATCTATCCTATTTGCCTAGTATTTTTTTCAAAAACCTAAACCAAACGTGATATTTTCTAATATCCACTTACACTTTCCCATCAATCTTAAAATAAATCTTCTACCAAACACCACTCGTAGAATACTAAGGAAACTCCAACCTCCTCTTTATCTCACGTGCAAAAGTGATCCTAAGTGATCATGTAATTAATTAATCATAATCAGTCATATAAAAATTATATATTTTTTTTTATCTCATCATTAATTGTAAAAATAAGTAATTGTAATTAAATAATATGACCATAAAACTATTTTTTTACACGATAGGAGCTAAATCCCCAACTAATCATATATGGCACGGGAAAGTTTAGGGTTTAGGGTGTCTAAACCCCTTAACTAGATGTCTTTAGTTTGAGTTTGGGAAGTGAAAAAATTATATTTTTTGAGAGAATTATTTCGTTTAATAAGATTCGACAAGTGTTCGAACCTAATATAATATGAAGAATAAACAAGTTAAATAAAAAAAAACTTTTTCCAAAATAATTTTTTTTCATTTATCTAATTTTTTTTTAATTTTTAAATTGGGTTATTTTATATAAGGATCATAGCATGTATGTCAAAATGCTGTTTCACAATATGGCATGGTAACATGTAGAATAACGTCTTTTATGTATAAAACAATCTAACTTATCTAAGCAAACGCCACTTGACACTGTCTAGAGAACGCCAGAACACCATTTTAGTTCACACGAGGTTTTATAATATGACATATGAACTAATATCTTCTTCACACAACTTTTGAATCATGGCAACTAAATTAATTTTATAACTCTCTTTCTCTCTAATGCACACATGTTTGGAGAATACGTTGGTCCACGTGAACTGCTTAACCCCTTTCTCTCCGAAATGTTAATATATTCTCCTTGAAATTGTACACAACCTTTGAATGATGATTATTGAACTGATCTCGTAAGTTTCTCTCATTTTTTTAGCTTGTTTTGATACCTGTTTTTTAGCAGTGGTTTTCTCCTTTGCAGTTTGGAAATTATGTGGATCGGGCTCATTGAGTGGATGAAGTAACCAATTCATTTGATACTAAAGTCCAAAAGGGCCGATCCATTGAGGCCGAAGGAATTAACCCAATGTGCATAAGAGCGTCGATGGCCTCTTTCACTATTTTTTCTTTTCTCTCTTCTTTTCATAATATAATTTTTTATTTATTTATTTTTAGATATCAATTGGTGCCCAAAATCCCAACCGACCGACTAATTCAGTTTTGAAGTTGAGCCTTTCCACTTATTCTAAAGAATTATGACTATTATGAATCTGGGCAAATCAAATAATAAAAATAATAATAAAAATAATTGGATCATAATTGGATCGCCACTGCATAAGAACTCTTGGATCATAATATAATAAAAATAACATCCGCTAGATTCAAAGATAATAATAATAATAAATACTTTACCTAAAAATAATTTACATTTACAAAAAAAAAAAAAAAAAAACATGTTACACACTCCTATTGTCAAATTAATTTGTGAGCGGGATAAACCATAATTTTTTATCCAAGATTAAGTATTAGGAGATTAGTATTTCATGTCATAAACACACAGTATATGAGACTCACTCTTTTAAAATAAATAAATAAATAAATTGGTCCCACATGCTTTGTGTCTAAGACATAAGATATTGGTTTCCTACAACATGTTTGATGTTTCTCATGTTTCATGAGATAAAATTATGTCTTACTCAAACATAAAAGTACATGGGGCCACGTGAAGAGAAGAGAGAAAAAAAAATGTGGGTCCCACACACTTTTATATGTGTGTAAGAGATAATTTTATTTTTTACAACATGAGAGCAATGTTGTAAAAATCGGATCGAACTGGCCGGGTCAACCCGGTGAACCGTTCATTTGACAGGTCCGATTATCACATTTGACCGGCCAAGTACCAGACCCGGTGGGACCCAATATGACCCGGCCGATTTTGGTGAAAACCGTTGGCCCGACCCAATTATTTTTAAGAAAAATCCAAAAAAGAAAATTATAATTGACATATTTAAGTATTTGTTGCTTATTGACTTACATAAGTTATATACCTACAGTATTAATATTATCTCAATTATGCAATATGCAAGGAATTTTGATTTGATTTATAGTTAGAGATATCATTTACTGAACCTAAAACACCAATATCACAAGCATTATATGTTTGTTTGATCATTTATTGGACAATAATATATAATTTATTATTTTTTATATTAAAATATTCAGAATTTATATTATTATTTTCAACTATTTAAGTATGTTTAAAATTTTTTAAATATAAATTATAGATTTATATATAACCACCGGATCATGCGGCTGAATTAGTGGCCCACTGGTTGACCCAGTAACCCAATACCTCGATCGGGTTAATGACTGAGCCGATTTTAATAACATTGCATGAGAGACAGTAAACCCATGAGAGACATTAAACCTACATATATATAGGATCATGATCATTTTACTCCGGTGTAAGACTAAAAAATCTTACACCACATCTCAACCGTTGATTTTCGTGCATCCAACGATTATAATTTAAGAAGCTATACGAGTTAATTAATCATTAATTATACTATAAATACCAACTGATGATTTACGTCCATCAACGGTTGAGATGTGGTGTAAGACTTATCATTCTAATTTTTTAATTTTTCAAATCCAAAACGACGTCATTTTGATAAACATAGATAAAATGGTCTAAAGTGATATTAGATATTTATTTCTCATATATATATATAGGGGTGTCAATATAGGTTTGACACGCGGGTCGACCCGCGACACGACACGAAAGTTCATGTTCGGGTTGACCCGCAAAAAAAATCGTGTTGTGTTCGTGTTGACCCATATTTTTTTTAATTATTTTAATTTAATTTTTTATTATTATTTTTAAAAATAATTTAATTTCGTCCCATTTTTTTTACATTTTTTTGTCAATTACCGTTTTGACCCATATTTTGCGTGTTATTCGTGTCGTGTCAACCTGCAAAAAATTCATGTCGTGTTAGTGTTGACGATTTTGGCACGAATAAAAATTCGTGTCGTGTTCGTGTTGATGTATTCGTGTCGTGTCAACCCGTTTCGACACCCCTATATATATATGGGTTTAGCGGATGTAAAGTGACTGCACCTAAAGATTAGTGCAGTCATATAAAACTACGTCGTTTTATAATGTGAAAGCATTAAACATGAGGAATAATAACCATACAAAAGTGAAAATAAATATAAAGCATTAAATATGGGGAATCATAACCATACAAAGATGGAAATAAATATAATATTTTCATTTTCTACAATTAATTTTGAACGCGAACTTCCTTTATCCCATCCAAAACGACATAGTTTTATGTTTATATGCATTCACATTACAAATCGTTTTGTCTATATATATATATATATATATATGGGCTTATCATTTCTCAAGCTGCTTGAGACAATGTTATCTCCGGCTACAAAATCATAACCGTATAAAGATGGATAAATGGTGATAAAAGAAGAGAGAGAAAAAGGAAATCATAACCATTCAAAGATGAATCAATTAATATAAGAAAATAAATAAACAAAACGACGTAGTGGAGATAATATTGTCTCAAGCAACTTGAAAAATATTTTTTCCTATATATATATATATATATATATATATATATATATATATATATATATATATATCCAATCATAGAATATAAGATTTTTTTCCTCTCTTTTCATAGTGTTATCTATTCGCAATTTATTATTAAAACACTAATATTTCAATTTTTTTTGGGCCAAGATTTCCTATAAAAACCTTAATCCGTCCCTAGTATAACCAAAGACTGAAAATCTCCTTTTATGCATATGAACACATGAATGATGAATCTATGCCAAATATACTTTAGGGTTTGTATTTATCATTTAATATGACACAAGAAAGTTTTCTACACACACAATATTTTGTGAGGCCCACATTTTTTGAATCAAAAAAAAAAAAACTACGACACGTAAAATAAATCTCTATAACATTACACAATCATTTTTTCTACAACATAACTATTATAAAACCCACGTAGTTATGTCTTTTAAGCCTGAAAATGACATTGACGTCTTCTATTAGGCTAGCGAAGGATCACGCAATCAGAATTAATTAAACCTCCTTTATTTCTCCAGAGGAGGGTTTGAAAAGAAATAAGATCTGACTTGGTAGAGCAATCTATATCTATTGACAAAAAAATAAGAATAAAAATGAACTCGTAAAGTCTCAAGGGCATTAATTGTAGAATGAAAAACTTTTCTTTGGATAGCATAGTTTTTAAACCACACAACAATTTCGATTGATTTATTATATAATTCACATTTTATGTGGCCAGGTGCCGCGATCATTTGGGTGCAATTAAATCAAGTTAAAAAATAAACAAGTTAAAAGAAACCAGAGAAACTTCAAGGGTAGCTCAGTTGGCAATTGAGCTCCTAAGAGTTTGCTTGAGTCAGGAGTTCAAACTCTGCCTCTTTCCTCGAATGGGGAATTAGTCTAATCCTTTCTCCTGCAGCGAAGTTCAATGCACCCGTTGTTCTAATAAAGGGCTAGCCTTCAGGGCCGTACCCTGAGAACAAGGTGACCACCGGAGGAGGTTGAATGGGGATACCTCCAGGTTAATACTAAAAGAAGAAAGAAACTAAAGAAATCGTTCGTTA